GCCGCCGCCGCCGCCGCCTGCGCCCCCGCCGGCCGCCCCTTCGTGCGCCCCGCCGCCGGACATGAGCGCGAGCGAAGGGGAGGTGATGTGCTCCAGCAAGTCGCCCGGTTCCAGCGCCTGGTGATGGTGGTGGTGGTGATGGTGGTGGTGACCCAAGGGCACCGTGGAAGTGGAGGTGCAGGGCACGCTGTTCATGGTGTGGTAGGTGGCATCCGGCTTGAAAGGGTGGCTTTTGCCCTGCGAGACGGCGATGTCCACGGCTGCTAGAGCCTCTGCCCGCGCCAGCAACGTCTCGTCCAGGGTGGCAAAGAGATTGCCCTGCAGCTGCAACCGACAAAGAGAAACGGGGCAGCGAGGGAGAGGGGGAAAGGGGGCCACGGTGGGGGAAGAGGAAGGCATCCCCGAGAAGGAAAGGGAAGGAAGGAGGGAAGCCGCCGCGAAGCGTTAACCAAAAAGACAGGGGGAAATGTTCGGGTTGCGGGACCGCGTGGCAAAGGAATTCAAGGGAAAAGTTGGTTTGCCGTGTGGGAGAAAAGGACGGGTGGAAGGAGGAAGAGAAAGGCGGAAGGGGGACAGAGGGGTGCGGGAGAAGAAGGGATGGAGCAGAGGCGAGTGTGATGAGCGGAAGAAAAAAATTACACGGCCGCGGGAAAAATTAATGGGAATGGTCCACCCGAAAGTGCACGGATGCAGTGAAGAGAGAGGGGGGTGGTGGAGAGGAGCGCGGTGCGTAAGGTTAGGGGACCATGGACCATTTTGGCCGGAGGAGCAGCGGGAAGGAGAGGACCGGGAGGCAGAAAAGGGAGAGAGAGAGAGAGAGAGGGAGAAAAAACAGGCAAGTTGGTTAAGCCAGAGAAGAGCGTAGAAGTAAATTTTCCCCCACTGCGGGGAGAAATCGAGGGAGCCCGCAGCGAGTCGGGAACAGAGAGCAAGAAAGGGCGAAAGCGAAGGGGCCAGAGGAGACCGGTTGGCTGCGCCGTTTTCGGCTCGGTTGGCTGCCTCGGCCTTTCTTGCCAGGTCAATTTCGAAGGAAACCCCGCAAAAAAATTTTAAAAAGCCGGGGGAAATTCAGGGGCAGAGAAGCCCCGGGAAGCGAGCCCCTTCTCAACCTCTCCCTCCAGAAGGGCGGAGGCGATGGCTGAAAGCCACCCGAGGCAGCCGCTGCGGCTGAAGCCAGGAAGGCAGCCACGGTTGCGGCAGGGGGCCGGGGAGCGACCGAGGACTCTGGGCTCGGGGTGGGGGGAGGCAAGAGAATAAGAACCGGTCAACCCGGGGGGAAAAGTCCAACTGGCGGCGCGTTTCTTACCGGCGGAGTTGGGAGACATGCCCTCCGGATGGCTTCGGAGCTGGAGTGAAGCGAAGGGTACTTGTGCTCCGGCAAGGACGGGTGCATGGCGAAGTGGGGCTGCTTGCTGTTCATGGACATCATTGTGGCGGCTCGGCGGGCGGACAGCAAGAGGGAAACGGCGACCAGGAGGAGATCCGCGCCTAGCGCCACCAGCGCGCCGGGCGAAAGGGCTCTCTGTGCGCCGAGCACAGCCAGGCTGCCGCCCCCGCCGCCGCAGCAGCACATCCGAGGCTACTCAGGCTGGCAGCTCCCCGGGAGCGCGCAGGGCGAGCCTTCCTGCAACCCGGGCCGTTCGACTCTTCTGCCTGCTCTACCCCCGGGCTGGCAGGAGATGCGCTCTGCTTCCACCTGAGCCCACATCCCGGGGCTCCCGACCGATTCTCCCTCTCGCGAGAACTTGCGCCTCCAGTTTTGATGGACTGCCCTTGGTCTCTCCCCTCCTCCTCCTCCTCCTCCTCCTCCTTCCTGCGCTCTGCCTCCTTTGCCCCCCCCCTC